GGTGCTTTAGTCATTGTTTACATCCAGATTTACCAAATCTGGCTTGTTCTGGTGCAGAATTATGACACGTCTCATGTCAGTGACGTAAAAGTTGGATGAAATGCGACATGACTGTTCCGATTGATTTAGTAGCACATGTGGAAGTGAAGGATTGCAATTGGGACATTCAGACTGCCAGAAAAAGGTTGGAAATGTATTTTTCAATATTACCTCAAATATTAAGGTTTAATCTTTGGCACCAGGTAAAAAAACACCAAAGATCACAAATCCAGGAGTAAAAATAGAGCCTCTCCTGAAAATGAGCAGCTAAGCGAACTCAGTGTGAAGTCTTGTTTTACCAGTTGAGGCGTTTAGCAAAGATTAAATCTGTTTATCTCGCAGCAGTCTAGAGACAGTAATCCTAGCTTTTATCACATCTCAGCTCAATTATTGTAATGGACTTCTTTTCCAGGCTGCTGTTTCTTGCTTACAGCTATTATTTCTCTGTTGGTTTTTACCTTTATTCTTTCAATTTTTGCTACTTTGCTTGCTGTACAGCTTGTCGCTTCCGAAATAAGTTTGATCTGATCTCTAGGTAGATTTCAAACTTCAGGAAGTTGACTCGTTGAAGGTCAGTCTGCACCGCAGGAAGGTGATGCGTCCAAAAATATGAAGCCACCGCCATCTGGTGAGGTGGGTTTTCCTCTGATTGAAGCGTCCCGACAGACCAGCTGTCCTGCGAGTTAAATTGAGGAAGCGAAGCAGGAAACGGCGCATGTTGAGTTGCCTGTTCATCAGAATGTGATGCTGCAGAGGATTTATTCCACACTTGCTGGGAACCAGCAGCTATCTGAGCCTAACTATAATCAGCAAGCATTTACACCTTGTGATGGTATGCATTCCCCATCCCCAGTCTGCTCTCCAGTTCAAAACTCCTTAATAGCTGTAAACTGACTCTCCTTGTGCATCTCGGAGCTGCTTGTTGTGGCTGATAGTCGGTAGTATTGCATATCAAACTTGGTGTTTGGCTCATTTTTCTGCTTTTCAGGATGACATTGATATCGTCTCTTTGTAGCTGCACTCAGAAACCCAATCCTCTGATCGCTATGGGATTATCTGCTCTATGAATAAATAAGTGGGAACACATCAGCTGGGATCTTATATCATACTGGTACACCAGTGAGTACATTACAGGCATTATTATGTTGACTGCGGCATATTTTACACAAAGCAAACAAACAGAAGTCTTTGATTACAGTTCTGTTTACAGTTAAATCCCCGTCGTTCTGTTTGCATGAATCCCCCAAGACGGTTTGATTTACATGCCTGATAATCGGGGAAGTGGCTTAGAGGCACGTTAAGCCGCAGATGGAGTTTTTATCTTGGCGTACTGGTTGTTAATCGGAAAAGAAATGCTTTTTCATCAGAACGGAAACAGATTGTCACAGGGACACAGTCATATCTGTTGATACTAGTGTTCTTTCAAACGAATGATGCTGGTAATTATTCACATTACCTCAGGTGAATAAAACAAACACATATGGATATTTTTGCTTATTTTAACTGTACGCAGTTCTTTAAATGTCCAGTCAGTAAATATATTTGCCCATTTATCCACAACAACTGGAACTTTCAATATCTAGCAAGTTATTCTTTCACTTTACCATCTACTAAAAGTGTTTCATCAGATTAAACTGAAGTAAAACCTGTTTCCTGCAACGGCGGGAGTGAAACTACCGTAATAACCCGATACTGGATGGAAAGCACAACGTCTCCCATTTCAGAAAACGTTGAAATTTTTCAGATAGCAAAGTGTTGTGGAATTACGGCACTGTAAAGTTGGCTTGTAAAAATGTGTCATTGCCGACACATTTGGCTAATTTAAGCTAGTGGCTAATCATCAATATGTTCATAAACCACATAATATCTTAACCTACAGAACTCAAATGTGGAGTTCCCCAGGGTTTAGTAGTTGGACTAATGTTTATTATCTTTTTACAGATGATATTAATCGGTGCTGCTTATTGGTGCTGCTCCTTGAGGTCGTCTTGAATTAACTTAGCATGCTAACACTAGCATGCTAACATGCTAACATTATAAAAATCCTAAAATTCACAGAATATTGTAATTTTCAGAATAAGTAAAATGACTTTACATGCTAGAAATGAATCATAATAATTTCCCATGATGCATTTAATACAATAATAATAATAAAAACTGGCTATCTGATAATAGTTGGGCTTAAAACTCAAAAATGTTTGAGTATTTTTTCCCGCTATGATAAATAACACAAAGTGTAATAGTTTATTTGATATTAGACTAGAAGTTAAAGTCTTTTAAACTACCTGACTAAACAAAAATAAATGTTTAAAATATTAAGCTATGACAGTATTTTTGATTCACTGGGATTACTTCTTGAAAATACCAACAATATAAAAAAAAAAATAAAAAGTTTTGCTCAAGCTCCTGGAAAAGAGGAGAAAAGCCTGTCAAGATCATTCTCCCCTCCAAGTGCTTTGATGAGATTATTACAAAGAAAATCCATCACGGCTGTTTCAATCAAAGCCTCTTCATGACGCATGAAGCAAAAAAAAAAAAAAAAAGCGAGGAGAGCGCCAGGAAATAAATGCAGCAGCCACAACAAAGCTGGGCGCTGGCAGCGGTCAGGCTGCAGGGGGGAAATCAAGAAAACTCAGACATCAAACTACTTCATTTTCTGCTGGCACAAGCTGGCTGTAAGTACCTTGCTTTATTTTAGATTTATGCATTTTTTAAAGCTGGATGGAAGACGTTAAAGTGACCAATTTGTTCTGGTTTCTCAATTTTTCCAAGACAAAAACAGTTTTAGAGTTAAATGGGTTTAGATTTATTTATAAGGTAAAGAAAGAAAAATGTAAACCAATAATCAGAGTGTCTCTTGACCCAGTTTCAGAAGCCACCAGAGGCCCACAGCATCACAGATCCACCACCGTACTTAACACTTTGTCTGAGCTGCAGGTTTCCATCGTTTCTGTCTTTGTTTCACAGTAAATGCAGCTAAAATTAGAGATGGTTGGTCAGAAAAGAAGAAAACAAAGGACTTTTGGTTTGCTTTAAGAAAGCAGGGACCAAGATGTGAATGTTTTTTTAGGGACTCTATATGTGTTAACATTGCTATATTTTGTTGAAAATATGCAAAACATCCAACATGACATAGAGATGTACCTCGAATAAAATAAAAAAATTAGTATATTTTATAAATTTGAGTCAATTTTGTATGAAATGACGACGTGAAACAGAGAAAATTTGTGATTTCCGAACAAAAGATGGCGGACAATTTTGCTGGAACCGTTATTCTTTAAATTAAATAGAACATTTTCATCCACACTTCTTCCTTCCACTCAACTTTTCAGTAACATGCTTGTATAGTTGGATATTTCTGCTTTAAAATCTTTTTTTTTTTTTTTTAATCCGAGCACTCTTCTACTGACTCCAAATTGACTCGGTTGCACCTGGTGGGAAAAGAAAAGTGAAATAAAAAGAAGGAGCAAATTGAAAAGGGAATCAAGGGCTGTTTTGCAATCAGCACATTTTTCTCCACAAGCAGAAAAAAGAGAAAAGTATGCAGCCAGTTATAAGCTGAAATAGTACGGAGGGAGAAGTGAAAAAAAAAAAAAAGAAGCAATTCAATACACGACAAATGCATAATACATAGGAGGAGAATTGAATAGAGCAGATTGCTTGGCGAGAGATAGAGGGAACATATATGTGGACTCAGTTTGTTTCATTAGGTCTGCGGTCGGGTCTTTATGCAGCATGGCGGAGGATAAAAACACGGCAGCAGATTGGACCTCAAATGGAAGTGGCGGATGTTTCACATCTAATATCGTTGATTGATTCTGAAGAGGGTTCTTCAGCGTCTGACCTGATTTAGAGGAGCAGGAAACGACGAGTCCGCAGCGTTTCTCCATAAAAAATAAACTGATTTTGGCTGGAAATATGAAGAACGAAGTCTTAATGTTAAACTTTAACAGGACCTGGGCTCGGCTTGGCTGGACTGCACCATGTTAGACATGTTTTTTTTTTGTTTTTTTTTCCCAGGCTCTCTGCTTCGATTCCCCGCTGTTCGCTAACAAGAGAGGACAGCCAATCGAAGTGACCCACCTTCAGCTCGCCACTTCCCAGCTCTTGTTTTCTGGCGGAAAAGCGAGCCCGCACTCCGGCGGCCCATTTAGCCGCCGCGGTAATGACAGAGGCAAACACTGGCTGCATCCAAACCGGCACAAATGGATGCGGTAAAAGGCAGAGAGGCAAAAAACAAAACAAAACCGAAACACAGCACTTTGGTTTCCCAGCTGATTTTGTAGAGGTTAGATTTTTATATCAGATAAAGACAAGATGAGTTGGTAATGATTTATTTGTAAGAAGGAGAAAAAACTGTTAGCTCTAACTCTCTGGTCAAGTCGTTTTTGGAAGATTGCTGCTAAAACTTAAAAATTTAAATATAAAAAAGAAGAAAACTGGACTTTTTAAAAAAAAGAGGTTTCACCTCCAGTTCAGAAACAAATATACAAATTTCACTAATATGGATGTTAAGGTCAAAGGTCATTAACATGGTCATAATGAGACGACTTTGCTGCTATATTATGATCTTGTTTATTTCAGAGACACCAAAAATAAAATTTTAAGTGGATTTTGGAGAATATTTCAAAATCTTACTCAGTATTTTTGATCTTTTGTCTCGGTGAACGAGATCCGATCTCTTGCTGAAAAGTTACTTGTAAGTTCATACAAGTGTACTAAGACATTTGCACTTGAAATTAGACAAAAGTACTCAGAAATAATTTTGTTTTTCTGCTGCATTGTGAGACTTGCCTTCAGTTCTCTGAGATATTTCTTTTACTTTTGTTTGCCGGCGAAGTCGACGCTCTTTACCGGGAAATGAAAAGCAACAGCAAAGTTCAGAAGCTCTTTCGGTGTTTTCAGAAAGCCTGAAAGAGGAAGGTAAAGTGGGGCGATGTTTACCTTTATCGTGCTTTTACCTGTAATGTCGGGCTTCTGCGGCATGAAGAACTGATAGAAGGTGGGCTCCGATAGGCCCTTGACGTTGCGGGCTGTGATTTCCACTTCGTATCTCGTGTTCCACTGCAGCGGCTGCAGCATCGCAAAGTCGTTAGCTCCTGGAACCAGCTTGGTCATCCACTGTTCCTCTTTATCCTGCAGGAAAGGGACCAAAAAATAAATTAAAACTCAGGGTCAAAGCGTGTTAGCTTGATAAACAACAGGTTGGGTTTTAATCCAGTCTCCCTTTACTCCTCTGGCCAAATGCGTTTATGTTCCAACCTGGCAACCCATCGCACCAAATCAAGCTTATTGGAGGGAGCCAGTAGTGCTGATTATTGAGTGGAAGGAATTTTTTTTTTTTTTTTTACAATAAAATATCCTCAAAAGTGTGGTGAGCTTTTTATGGTGAATCATGATGTGGAATATTTATTTTCTGTTTACTCTACTTTGCTTTTGTTTTAATCTGCAATTAAATCCATTTCTTTTGGACAAATTATGAAGCTGAATACTTTATAGAGTTTCATATTTTTTCTTATTTCTCTAGGAATCATTTCAAGCTTCTGCCCTTGAGCTGCCTGTTTAAAAAGTGACACAAAGTCACAACATCTTGACAGAGTATATTCATAAATAAATACTGTTTATGCTATAAAAACAAATAATGTTAGCTCAGAAAACACTGAAATATGTTGCTAAAATATCTACTTATTGAAAAATGCATAAAAAATATGTGACGAATCAAAGTGACATTTTTTATTATTCCCAAAAAGAAATTGAATGTCTGGCTGTGGGGAGGAAGGATCTCCTGTACCAGTCTGTGTTACTGGGCATACAAAGACGCCTCTGACTGAAGACTCCCTGTTTCATGAGTTGCCTTTAATTTCCTTGACTTCATACTAGGTTTGCTTTCCTCTTTTTGATAAAACTCCCCTTTGAGATGGCGGCCATCTTGGTCAGGTCACAGGGATTTCATTCCAGAGGCAGAGAGAATGCGTAGAATAAAAGATATGAAGAAAATAAATGCCAAAAATGAATATTTATGTGCTCGGAGTTTTTATTTTAGGTTTCTATTGTTGAAAATAATTTTTCCTTTTCTTTATATCCCACTTTAATGCATTGATTTTGTGTTCCTCCATCATATGAAACACTCCACAGCCTCTTTAACCCTTATGCTCTACATTTAATCTGCACCACCATTAAAATAGACGAGCAAATCCTGAGAGACGGTTTGTCCTCTCATTAAAATTGTAAGCAAAACGAGATGTGAAAAACAGAGATCTGCCAGCAGAACATTATTCATTTAAGGAACCAACTCAACCCAGCAGCAAATCAATCCAGCCTCGCCTGGTGTGTGAAGGATTATTATGTCAAATATGAAAAAAAACTCCATCAGAGTGAGTTACTTTTTAGAAAATGTAAGAGCACGACTTGTGCAAACTGAATGGCCTCATGTAAATTTAATGAACGCTTGATTTCCAAACCGCGCCTGTTGTGTTTCGCTCTCTTTGTGCTCGACGTCAGAAACAGGAGTGATAAATGTGAAACATTTATTCTGTCTGGTAAACAGAGCTGCTCAGTAATCAGAGCCGCTCGTGAATAATAATTCAGAATGTAAACCCAGGCTAAAAGAGCAGCACAAAGTTATTTATCCTGACAGAAAGGGAGCAAACGTCCATCCTGTCAAAGATTCCCTCTGCATTTTATCTCACTGGATACTAATAAAAATTATTTACATTTACTTTATTGTTTTAATTTGCTCTCCAAAATAATAAATTGTAATGTTTATTGTTTGTTCATGATGTTGAAATGTGCTGTACAAATAAATTTGACCATAAGTATTTTTTGAATTTGAATCTGAACTCCCAAAGAAATAGAAAAATAAAAATCTGAACCATAATTAATGGACAAAATTAACTAAAAAAAATACATATTAATAAAAATAATAATAGATTAATGATGCTATAAGTAAATGGTTCTAATAACAGAAGATAAAATAACAATTTGCAGTGCATTATTTCACCCGTCTCAAAAAATGGGTGAAATAATCGTTTTCACCCCCATATTTCTGTCACACATCCAATATTTGTATATAAAAAAAAAAAAACACAAAAAAAACATAAATTTCCTGGAGAATTTTGGAATAAATTTGCAAAAACACAAAGTTTTAACAGACTGAAGGTTTTTCTGCTCACTGTTTTGTATTTGACGATGTATTCCACGATGGGCATCCCGCCGTCGTCCTGCTTGACCAGCCCCAGCCTGTAGGCCTTCCCCACGCCCCTCTGGCCGTGGACCGCCGGCGGACTCGGTTCTCCTGAGGATGACAAGCGTCACATCTTCATCACTTTTATTGCGTCTCCTTTCCAACGTTTCTGCACTGTTCTCCCAGACGTTTGGCGGATAAATAAAACGCTTACAGTGAAATTCCCTGCAGACGAGGAGAATCTGACAGAATCCATTCCAGGTTCTGATAATCTAAGTTCATATCTGTGAAAGTCGGGAGGTTGAGGCTCTCTCAATATAAATACACCCGGGTTGTGTAATGTGGCAAATAGGCCTCATTCTGCAGAGTTGCTGATGCTCTGAATAGATTCTGGAGGCATGTAATGCATTTCTGTCACACATCCAATATTTGTATTAAATCAGAAGCAAAACATTTCCATATTCTTGCTGAATCGAGCTGTTTCAGTTTATAGCCTGAACTGCTGAGGGGCCCGACGACTCAACATCAACACCCAGTGAGACGTTAGAAACCGTTAAAGTGAGAGGCAGGCGTCGCTACCGCAGGTTTTGATTGGTTAAATTGGATCCCGACTTACGGATGGGTAAAGTCTGGAAGGTCTCCGTGTGGCTGAACTCTCCCTGACCTTTCCCGTTCACGGCCGCGACTCGCACCTCGTACGTTGTGTTGGGCTCCAGTCCGGTCAGAACTACGGTGGCTGCAGAGAGACAAAACACCACAGCTCACTTTTTCTGTTTGCAGAAAAACAAAACACAGGAGAAGAGGTTTATTTTAACACATCACTTTAATGAGCATCATTACTCCATTTAATGCAGGAAACAGCAGCTTTTTCTGCAGCAGGTTTGGACTTCTTACCATTTTAAGGCTAACAGAGCTCTAACCTACTAGCCTCCTAATTCTTTTTAAAAATTACATCATCTGTAAAGTGTCACTAACACAATAAAGCAAGTTAGATGATTTGAAAAGATGGACTTCTGTGCTTTCAAAAGAAGCTAGCGCTTCATTTGAAGAAGAAACTAGTTAAATAGCTATTAACTAATAGTTATTTAGTTATTTAATTAGAAGTTAAATAACTAGTACTTGAGGAAAAAAACGTTTCTTCCTCAAATCTTGGCAGAAATCGATCTAAACTTCTTCCACTTCTATTTAAGCAGCCGTAGTTGTTTGCATTTTGACTTACCCTCATTACATCACTAAATGCCCAGCTCCATCTTGTGATGTAATGAGGGTAAGTCAAAATGTAACCTGGGAAAAATGTCACAAGTGAAGTAATCTGCTACTGGTTATAAAATTATTTACTTTATCTTGGTGAAAAGCTGCTTTGCCTTATTTCAAGTGTAATAAGATATTTGCACTAGAAACTGGACAAAAACACTTTGAAAGACTTTGTGTATTTGCAGTGCTCTTCTTTTTGACCTTAATGTTACAAAAGCTGAACTTATTAGATCCAACATGAAGTTTTGTTAATCTGGATTAAATTCTTATTTAAATCTCACAGATTTTATTCTATCAGCCAGCAGAGGGAGAGTGAAATCTTGTCGTTTTTGTCGGTGTGAATAAATTAATTCCTCTGCTGGTAAATAGGAGCTTTTTCAGTCCTTTGGTCCTGGAAAGGAAAACAAATGTTTTGCATTTCGCATCAGCGTTCTGCTTCCATCGCTGGCGCTGAACCGAGGCGAGTCCAGACCTCATTATGCTGCAGTCTACTGAGGGGAACTTTAGCGCTGAAGTCTGTGATTAAATATGGAGACACTTAGCATTATGTAATTAGCTTTGCTCACTTTTTTTGCATTTTAGATCAAATTCTGTTGAAATAATCCAAATTGGACTCATTTGTAGTTGTGAATTTTTCCCTTCATTTCGACATCCTGGTTGGTTTCCTCCTCAGTAAATCTCCAAACTGTAATTGACTCTGAAATGAGGGATATTAGCGATAAGCCCTTCAGGTTTGTTGGAGCTGCTTATCAGCCGGCCATTCTTCCCCCGGCTTTCATTTTCCATCCATCCGTCCGTCAGTGCGCGCCGTACTTTCCGACAAGGCTCAGAAATCAATTTGGAGTCGTAAAGCACAGGAAGAGGAGAAGGGTACGCTTTCAGGCCGGACCGGTCCTGGCGCCGGCCGCCGCCAGGTGTTTGGAGCGTCGTCAGGGGCCGACAACATCCCAGGGCCAAAGCTTTGAAGGATCCTGTGACCGATCGTGCAATTATGTGTGAACTGGGCCGATGTCGAGGCGTCAACACAGGAGATTACAGGAATGTCGGTTTACAGTTTCTCTCTCTGACAGGTGAAGGATGAAGTCAATCAGGTGTTTTCACTTCATGAGAGTAAAGTCAGCTTTCCGTTTCCTTCAGGGTTGCAAACATACACAGTCGGATATTTCTCTTCAAAATGGGAAAAACAATACAACATGCAATTCAAAAATGGCTGAAATGATTAAGAAAAAATCTTTTCTGTCCTGTTTTTGTTTAGAACAAAAACTCCAAAAGGATCAAATGTAAAACAGAGAACATGGTAACCAGTTTGAGGTACGAAGGAGGATCCGTCATGCTGTGGGCCCACACAGTAACAGCATATAATGAGTTTGTGTTCCCAGGTCTGGGAAAAACACTAAGCTGGCATTTTTATTTAAGAAGATATACATATTTAATTTAAAACACCCTAAGAAACACAGAAAATCAAAATGTTTTGTCGTTCTTCACCGAGGCTGTACGAAATTATCACAAGGTTATGTGAAGCTTTCTGTTTTTTAAAGCTTCACTTTTCAGTGGATCATGAAATTACAGAGTATTTTGAACAAAATTCTGCCAGAAAAAGAGGCCATCTTGGATTTTTGTTTTGTTTTGTTGTTTTGTTGATAGAAAAAAACAAAACAAAAAAAACAAAAAAACATCCCAGCAGAAATGGTTCAGCAGAGATGAAATCTATAGAGGAGAAAATAAGAGAGGAAAACTTTGACAACAACAAGAATAACCACTGTTACCTCAAGCCAAAAACAAAACAAATAGTTGATATTTTTTACCCTTTATGTGTCAAAAATCTCACCCAAAAACACAAAAACTTTATCAGGTTCAGCTGCTACAAAACAAGAAAATATAAAGAGAAGCAGAAAACTGCAACTCCTGACTGATAAATGATGTTTGGACATCAAACTCACTCTGTACGCTGTGCGACTTCACATCCCTCCAGTCCATGGAGCCCAGCTCTTTGTACTGGACCAGGTAGAAGCTGATGGGAACGCCGCCGTGAGAGTCCGGCTTCATGAAGGTGACGGTCGCCAGCCGCTGGGAGACGGCCGACAGACGGACGGAGTACGGATTGGAGGGGACGTCTATGAGAAAACAAGAAAAAAACAAACACCAGAAACTGCTGAGATCTGAGATGAACAGCGTTTAAAAACGACAGGAAGGAATAAAAAATATGGGAAATAACATCTGATATGGGAGGAAAGGAAAGAAGAACAGAAGGGAAAACAAAAACTGTAAGAAAAAAAGGAAGGGAAGAAAGAAGGAAACAAGAAAAGACAAAAAGAAAAGAAGAAAGGAAGGATAGAAAAGACAGGAATGAATAAAAACAGGAAGGGAAGGAAAGAAAAAGTTGATAAACACTGGAAGGAAGGACAAAAAGATGAAAAAAGGACAAAAGTGGGAAATAGAGGTATGGAACAAAGAAGAAAGAAAGGAAAAGAAAATAAAAGAAGGAAGAAGAAAGGAGAATTTTCAACAGCAGCAGCAAAGTGACAGGAAATAACAAATAGACTCACACTAACAGAAAACATTAAATATAGATGAATAAACAAAATAAAAAATAACATACTGTACAATAAGGGCAAAATTTCAACATGAATAAAGTGAAGTTATAAGAAAAACTCCAGTCCAGAAAAATGTGCAACTCAGGTGATACCACAAACATTACAGATGAACAAAAAGCAAACAGGAAATAACCTGATAACAGAACAAATAAAAAATAAACAAACAAACAAGGAGATTTAAATGGATACATAATCAATTGAACACAATGAAATTGTTTAACATATGTGGGTTAGGACATACTTTTTACTTGAATATAGGCAGTTATTTTCTAATTTGACTTATTATTTTTCTATTCTCTAATATTGCCTGATTAGCCTGATGTGATATGTTGGGTAGAAGTGGAAAAGAGGTTTTAGAGTCTAACAGAAACAACTTTAATGTATTTAACTTTTATTTAACCAGGTGAGTTATAAAAAAACACAGACGGGAGATTATTTTGTTCCAGACTCGTTTTCGTTTTTCATACCTGGAAACACAGAAATGAACTTTTCCCCTCTCTCTCACCTGCCTGGGCCAGGATGAACTCCTGGTACCGGACTCCGATGTTGTTCCGGGCCGTGCAGTTATACCGGCCAAAGTCTCGGTCTGACATCGGAGTCACCTGAAAAAGAAAAAGAAACCGTTTATAGCAACATTTAGGAGTGGTCTAGTCAAAGTTTGGACTTCAAATCAGCTTCAAATGATGTTGTGTGACATATTTTAAGTGAAACGTAGATAAATAAATGCAGGAGATGAGGATTGGCCCCTCAGAGCCTCCGTACCCACCTCCAGCACCGACTTCCCGTCGGTGCCGTAGATCTGCATGTGCGGCGTTCCCTCTGAGATGGTGAAGCGTTCCCTCCTCCACAGCATGGTGGCGGGCGGGTTGGACATCACGTCGCAGCTGATGTTCACCGGGTTCCCCTCCCACGAGTAATAGATGGTGTGATTGGTCAGGAATTTAGGAATATCTGAGAAAAAAAACAAAGAAAAAAAAAACAAAGTTAAAGCTGCAGTTTGTAACTTAAAAAAAAAATCTTTATATCTTTGTTGAAGCTCATTTTGATATGAGAGATAATCTGTGAAAAATGTAGCTCTTCTGCCTTGTCCCAGTTCTGACGAGAAACAACCAATCAGAGCCAAGAGGCGGGTCTTAGCGCTGTCAATCATCCTCTGTGCTAGCATAACCTGTTGTGAATGCTCAGGACAGTTAGCTTGTCCAGTGATGATGGAGGACAAACAGTTTTCCTGTAACAGTAAGTTAGCATGAGGGTGATTGACAGCGCTAAGCCCCGCCTCCTGGCTCTGATTGGTTGGTTTAGTCAGAAGCCAATAACAGCTCAAAGAATAGGTGAAGGAGATCAATCTTTTCATTGTTTATCTGTCTCATTTAAAAATGTTACAAAATGGTGATGCTTCCACCAGATGCATTAAACACATATATTTTATAAAAGTTACACACTGCTGCTTTAAAACCAGTAAACTGCTGGTGTGTTGAGCGTTCATGGCAGCTAATTAAACTCTGAAATCAAAGGTGGAGCTGGGATGGATGATCAAAGGCGTCTTAACCCACACATTCTGCAGAAGAAGAAGAAGAAGAAGAAGAAGAAAATGCTTTAGATTTAAGCCCACTGGAGAGAAACATGTTGGCCTCAAGCGGGCGAGTGAAGGATGCAAACAGAGGGCGATAATGAAAGACTGCGGCGGCGGGTGTTGTTGTTGCTGCTCGGACGTTTCCTGGCCCGGCTGCCCGGCTCACTCAGACACACATTATGCTTGTTTTATGCTCCCTTGCAGGACGCCATTAGAGAGATTGATGCGCGGCTCCCTGTCACAGCTGAGGACGTGCCATCGCCTCACAGTGACTTAGTAAATGAGTTCATTAGACTCTCCGTCTAAAACATGTTTACAGTGGAACAGCAGCAACTTCCCACATCCAGACGAACATGTGTGCATTTGTCCCCTCGCGAACTTTCAAGGGATTTCTTTCCCAAAAATGTCAATTTATCTGACGGCTCAATCTGCTGCGCTGGTATAGTTAAAGCATCTCATAATGAAGCCAATCTCTCCAAAGCCGAGATGAAGATCTCTGCTGCAGAGCTCATTAGGCAGGGGAGAGGCAGGCGGCCCCAAATAACCCCAAACACGACACGACGAGCAGAGGAAGCCGTCAGCAGGAGAAACCCAGGCTTTTCATTAATTATCACTCTTCAGAGACGATACGACTGCAGGGAGGAGCTGTTTGTAATCATTTCCTCTGCTTTAACAAGACAACCAGCTGGTTTCCACAGGGAATGGGAAACTTTTCACCTCTGGAATAAGCTTGACAGGTGTAAATATTTGACGTCAATTTGTTTTATTGGGAAATAATGAAGATTTTCAAACAATTTGGGGAAATAAAAGTCTGGAAAAAACTCATATCTCTAAATAAAAATGGAATATAGGTGAATGAGTGAGGGAAGGTCAGAGAATAAAAGACACTACAGAATAGTTTGTTTTGGTCTAGTCAAAGTATAGATCTAAACACAAATCAGTCTGACTGAATTTGAGAAAATAAAAAAAATAAGAGTGGAGCAATAGCCAAACAGATTTGCACCAAAATTTGAAAATGACACAATTTTTAAGCATTTATTAGTAAAAAAAAATTCCTGTTTAATATTTTTCTTTTTAGACAACATGCACCCAAGATCTCTCTGCATGAATAATTTTAAATCTAGAACCGCAAAAAGGCAAAAGTCCATCGTTTATGTAATTACTATCAAAGCGTTTCTGTGACCATGAAACAGCTGAGAGATTAGCCTGGGAAAACAGAGGTCTGCCAGCGCCACAGCTCCACCTGGTGGTGGCAGAGATATTACCTACTTACAGCTGGGGTATGTAACTTTTATAAAAAATATTTATTTTTACATATTTGTTAAACTATCCGGATGTCATGACAGTGTCAGACAATAATTTGAACTCTTCTGTCTTCTCCCAGTGCTAATTAAAGCAACCAGTCAGAGCCAGGAGGCGGGTCTTAGCGCTGTCAATCACCCTCATGTCCTCTGCTTTCTCTCTGATAGTTCACCATGAACATTGAGGCTAGCTAGCATAGCCGCCGATAACATAAATGGTTTTCCTGGAATGCCATGCTGTTTCTCCGTAGTTAGCATATTTAGTAGCACGTACATGAGGTTGACTGACAGCGCTAAGCCCCTCCTCCTGGCTCTGATTGGTTGTTTTTGTTTGGGAGTGGTGTGTTTCTTCAGATGGCAACAGCAGCTCAGAGAAAACGTGGATCTTTTCACAGATTATCGGTCGTCACATTTTGAACATTTTAACAAATTTATTTAAAAAACACATATTTTGATCAAAGTTACATAATCCAGCTTCAGGACAACAGTAAAGCTCCTCATTTCTGCTACATTTTACTATAGAGTTTTACAGAAAAGTAAAAAATACTGTTATGTAAACGTTAGCGTTAGCATAGTAGCACAGCTAGCTGTGACAGGAACCTAGCTCATTAAAAAGCTTTAAAGTTTCCAGTTAATTGTAACTTAACTTACACTCAATGTCCAGAAACATGCTCTTCTGATGGCCTCCTATCCTGCTTTGGGCCTCGCAGTCAAAGCGGCCGAGGTCGCTGAGCCGCACCCCGCTGATGGTCAGCACGGACTTACCGTGACGACCACGGACTTCGAACCGCCCATCCCGACTCTGGAAAACAAACACAGAGTTCCTATAAACATACCGAGGAGCAGAAAGTACTGAGAAAAGCTGAGAAATGCTTCATTTTCCAGCTTTGTAGCTCAGAATGACCCCGGTCGCTTTGCCCTCGCAGGCTGCAGTCTGGTGTCACACCGTGTCGAGGCTAATCCAATAAACCGCCGATACATTACAAGGCCGTTACATTGGTATGAAGACAGATGGCAACAATTTGAAGCGACGGGTCAATTACAGCAGACAAGGCTCTTAGTGCAGCCGTCCCTCGTAATGAGACCAAAACACCCTGGAGCGTCCAGGCTGGACGCTTTCCATCAGGTGACCTCATGACCCCAGGAGGCGAGTAATGGAAACTGTTAAAACACAACTAAACATATCTTTCTACCACGCTCCTGTTAACAGATAAAACTGCATTTATTCATCAGGAAGTGCAGCATTAAGGACAGTGTGGTGAGGAAATTGACTCAAATCAGAAACCAAAACAAATTTTACCCCCCACTGAGCTTTTTCTGCAGCTTCAATTTTAATCAGAGAGAGATTACTGCCTTCCTGTTTCTTTTCTTCTCCCGTCTGATTAAAAAGCAAAAAAAAAAACATCAACGGTTTTATTTCCTTTTTACAAAATAAATAACATCTCTCTACAGAAAACACTAAAAAGTGTCAGATTGTGAATTTGCAGAGATTTATTTTCAATGTTTTTCCCTCCCTCACCTGTTGCTGCCAGCCTGAGTGAGTATTGTGTATACAAAGAGATCTTAATATTTTTTATTGCTAAGTTTGTCATATCAAAGCTGTTTTTCTTAATCTGCTCCCACTGTAGGATAAAATGCTCCTGTTGCTTCTTTTAAACAAAATAAACTTCAAATGTACTTAAATTTGAAATTTATTCAAACTTAAATACAGTTTAGATTTTTTCTCTTTTTTGTTTTTACTTTATTTCAAACAAATAACATTACATAGAGGATATTTAACACAATGACCAATATCACAATATTATAATATAAGTAACAGACAATACTGGTGTTAAGATTTTATCAAAGCAATCTACAAAGTAAAATAGCAAAAACAGCAAAAATCAAAACCAACTACTTTTCTGGTGTTAATTGAATATGTACAGTGATAATGCATGAAATGTGACATATTTGCACGTTTCTATTTTATTTGTGATATTGTGTAGCTCCAATTCAAAGTATATACATTATTATTGATGTTTTTGATGCATTTTAGGAGTTTCTTGTCTTCTAGAAATGTTTCACAGATTATATAAATCTGCGATTTTGCAACTATTCTATTCGATTTGAGATATTGTGCAGCTCCAATTCAAAGTAAATAAATTATGGAACGTTTTTCCTCCTTTAAATGTGGCTTAGGGATCCTGAGATCAGAGATAAAGTAAATCTGGTCCATAATTGTAGTTTTCTGACATTTCTCCTCTCTGCTAGCAGCTTCCACCATCACCGTTTGCCTCCATCTGTATTCCCATCCTTGTGTACATTTGCATATTTAGGCCGCTGTATTCCTGTGCACACTCAGCCTCCGCTTTCCCCATAAATCAACGCACAGTTCTCTCTTTGTAATACCCTGCTGTCGCCCCCCGACCCGAACGTTCCTCTCCTGCTCCAGACTCCGGCTTGATCCTGTTTGGAACGGCTTTCGTTTTGTCGTCACAAAGCTTTCAGCTAACGAGGTGGAGCGCCGCTTAAAGGCTCGGCTCTGGTCGCTTTGCGACTTCGCTTGTTTGCCTGGCGAGTGGCACTGAATGAGGATGCTGAGGATGAGGCAGCAGAGAGACAGAGAGAGAGAGAGGAAGAGGAAATCTTCTGAGTCAGGAAATTACTCCCCCACTGACAGGGCCTGTGTGTGGAGACAAACTCGCTCCCTGAAGCTCGGCCTGCTTGATATGCAGCTCAGTCACCTGGCCAAACGTGAACACAGAGCCGCATGTAGGAACAGCAACAGGAAGCACCAATATCTCTCTGCGTTTGCATGAAGCACACAAACTCTTAAATGGATTGTGGAGACTGTGACTGCGTTACTTTAGTTTTAGTTTCAGATATTAAAAATGTCAGTGGTAAATGTCAGCGAGGCCCGTCTGATTCTCGGCGCTTTGTGGTGGGGATGAACATCAGGTCTGCTGCATCCGCCTGGTTTTTATGAGTCCTGCGCCACCTCGACCTCGCCGTGGCAACAAAATGACATTTAATAATGGCTTTTCTGCTTCAAGGAAATGGAGGCCAAAGAGACGGGTTCAAAGTGAAACAAAGCCAGTCGGTGGCTAAACATTTCAATTATCTTGAAATCGAAGGACAGACAGTAGCATCTGCGACTGCTTCTCCAAGTCTACCTTTTTATTATAATAAATATAATAAAGGAGCAAAAGTTTCATTGAATTTTGTTGAATTACATGCAGAAGAAACGAGGAAACTGTACCCAGAAAAAGAACAAACAGCCAACAATTTGATGGTTTGATAAGGATTTCACGCTGGTGGAAACACTCAGTCAATTAGGACAAGGAAATGATGGCCGCTTCAATAAATGAGAACTAAACTGTTCCTCATAAAAATCTAAAATAAGTGTTGCTTTGGGAAAAAAGAAGAAAATATGACTTATTGAACCAGTTAAAACATTATTAAAGCTGTAGTGGATCATGTTATGGACCCTCTGTGCCACTGTTTACGTCCGGAGATTTTGCACAACGCTGGAGGCCAAATTAACGCAGAAAAACAGCTGAACAACAACTCAAAACCACTTTTTTTCTCAGGCTCTGTGTCGGCTACGCTACACACAGACTTGTTGCCATAGCAACAGACAACACCACTCTGCGTATCAGGATTCAACACCAAAAACCGCCCAAAGAACAGAACATTCAGTCCGTTACAGTATTCTATTTTTAGGCTTGATGTTTATTTAATAAGCGGTGGTAGATTAGCTACAGCAGCTATTAGCTAAGCTAACACTGTAGTGGTAGATTAGCTACAGCAGCTATTAGCTAAGCTAACACTGCACTGATAGGTTATCTGCCACTGCTAATAGCTAAGCTAACACTGTGGTGGTTGATTAGCCAATTTAAACACCTGCTCTACAGATGATCCATCAGAGCTGGTGTGTGGTTCACCTGTTTTTAAATTGAACTGAAACACATCGAATTCCACATCACATCTATATGCTATGGTTTTCAAGGTCAAGCTAGCATAGCTGAGCTACTTCTCTCTTTCTCTCTCTCTTTCTCTCTCTCTCTCGCTAATTTTTCCTCTTAATTAAAACTTTTTTCTGACCTTGTTATCTAGTTGTCATAATATTGAGTTAGTAGCAAAGCACTGTGTCCCTTTTTCTTTTATAAATCACAAATAGATTTAAGATTTAATGCAACTTAATAGATAAAGCCAATGCTAGTCATTGTTATGAAGCAGCTATTGATGACTAGCATTCATCAACAGAGTGAAATAAAAAAATATGTCCAACTATTTTTCCAAAATGATACATAAGAGTAATTTAGAACTTTAAAAAAAATCACTAATCTAATCTAATCTAATCTAATCTAATCTAATCTAATCTAATCTAATCTAATCTAATATTAATTACATTAACCATAATTATCCATTTGAGGTGTTGGTGCTGATGTGCTGCACTTTCTTTTATCCCAGTTTTGTTGCTTGTTTGCTGACCTCCAATCCAACAGGTGGCGCCAAACACAACAGAAAATGTTGGAATTGAAAATGTAAAACAGCAGTGAAACAAAACAAATATTTATTACTGTCAATTTTTTGCTTTCAATGTAAAGTTTTTCAGAGTAATCGTTAATATATTCAGTTACATTTTTCAAAGCCAATATTTCTTTTCCATTTCACTTTAAGCTGTCGTCGTTTTAGCCTCATAGGTTCATAGAAACATCTGAATGTGGACGTTTTATTGTGAAAGGATGGACTATGCTACTTTTTCTGGATTGAGAATGCAGGAAATCTTAGTTACACAATCTTAATGACAATCAGTGGCATTTTTAAAAAGCACCTTGCTGGTTGCTTCTGTAGATTTCTGAGTCACTTGGTCTCTTTTTCAGCATAACTGTGACTCAGAGATTCACAGAAAGGCTCTTAAGTCTTCTCAGAAACATCCATCAAAACTCTGTTTTAATCACCTAGTTTATTTCCGTCATGCTTCCATCAGTAGCTCCTTACACTGGGATGCTAGTAACAAATAAAACCCTTACCTCACAACACCAAGCAATGAAACAATACACCAACTCAAACCCTCCTTCAGCACATAATTAAATCCTACAAACTGCCTCCCATTACGCTCTCTTTCCATGGGTCATGGTGTTAGCAGAGAAAGAAAGAGAGGAAGCAAGCAGCATTATGTAGAGAGTAAAACTAAGCCTCTCGGTGCAAGACGCCTCAGCGGGAGGAGAGAGCGCAGGCTGGATATGCAGATTGGAGAGCAAATTGAGAGAGGAGCATTCTGCCTTAAACCCAAATGACTGCTGCCATCCATCACGCCCGGGCGCCGCTCGACTCATGTTTGTCTTTGCGCATGTTTAGGTGTGTTGGTTTGCTCCGCGCATTTCCATAATTGCATTTGCAGTGGGGGGAGAGAAGCACTTACTCTCATTTTCGGCTGTGATTTATCAAGCCGAGCGATTCGAGCCAACGCACACATTCATTTATCTCCGCCGTGACCTTTTTCCCAGCAAAAGATCGTCTGGCTCCTTTGTTTTTTTTATTATTTTTTTGTCCTTCTGTGGAAACCTCAGTCCAATGCTAACACACTGACAGAACGCTGTTGAGAAATAATTACTGCTCCCAGAAACGTCTTGAGTCAAACCCAGAGTCTTTGAGGCCGGATCACACAATGCCTTGTTAGGTGGAAGGAAAGCACCAAACAAAGTGTAAACTGAAACGTTTTCCTTGAAAAACTTCAAGGTCCTTGGTGCTTCTTTTTGCCTGGAGCGAAACAAAATAAAAAGCGTGCGCTGATTTCCTGAGAGACTATAAACTCAGCCAGGTATGAGCGCAGGGTGAACGTGCATAAGTTATGTCTTTGAGCCTTTTAACATTTATAAACGCTTGGAAAAGACAGCCATCTATTTGTGTCTGCTGCTCCTTAAATTATACCCGTTTGACCCCAGAATGTAGATTTCACAACGTTAACCTCTGCAAGCAATAAAATGACCTAAACCATGGAGACGGGAAATGAAATATTAATATTTAAACAGTTTCCATTACATGTACTGTCCACAGTTTAATATTCACGAGACAATGGTGATTTTGGAAAAACACACATCGTAATATTGAATTTATCGCTTGATATTCATGAGTTCAGGCGTAACAAACACCTAAAGTAACTTTATTTTTTGCTGATAAACTAAATAGTTTTTTAGGTTCTCTCCTTGTTTCTGTGAATTTTGACATTTTTGTGTTAATTTATATTTTACTTAAATGGTTGAACGGTTCATAGGCAACATAGATTAAAGCTTCCAGATTTATTATAAGTTTGTTATTTGACTAAAAAGTCACGTAATGTGTGTTAATACAGCAAAAAAAATTACAATTAAGCAAACGGTGTTTATATAAAGCTGAAAACTGTCTAAAAATGTTATTTCAAATTCAAATTCAATTTATTGGCCCCAAAGGGAAAATTAAATATTGTTCAGGGCGCTATCTCTGTTTCTACGTGAATTTTAAAATTTTTCTGTAAATTTGTTTATTTCAGCATTCATTTGCGTAAAAAAAAATGTTTTCACCATGGAAGTTTCCAACAAAACAGAAGACAAAGTTTCTAACTTGTCACTAATTATTTTTTTTGATAAATTCATTAGAGGTGTCTGGAAAGAGGCTTAATGTAGCAAGAACATTTATAAGTATCCGCCATTTTGCCCCTCCTCTGATTTCCCACACTTGGCCCCCCCCCCCCCCCTTGCCTCTTGGCTCCGCCCACTTTTCTGGATGTATTTAATGTTTAGTTACACTTTCAAGGTTGTAGTTTTTAAAATGTTGAGTGAAACCATGTAGGACGACTTTTACAGCATCAACGTAGAATATTTGTTTTGGTAATTTTGAAGAAGAAAAATCAAAACGTAAGCTCTCTTAGAGTCACTGGAATTTCTCTGTTTGGTGTGAAAACTTGGCCAACTTCCTCCTCACCCCTTCTAACTTATGCCCCATTTGTTTTACACAACTTAAAGTCGACCGCTTGGTGTGTGACGCAGCAAACAACACACACACACAGACAGAGAGCCAGATGGACTTTCTGGCAGCGTCTACCTTGTCTCCGTCCACGAAGGTCTGTCCGTCGCTGGCTCTCCTCCAGGAGATGTCAGGCAGAGGCTCGCCCTCGGCCACGCAGGTGATCATCACGGCGCTGCCCTCCACGGCTGTCACGTTCTTCAGCTGGGTGATGTGGGGCTGGACTGCCGGCCGGCCGCAGAGGACGAGAGAAATAAATTAGAGAAGAAAGAGCAGAGAGGAAGGACAGAGGAAGCAGGAGTGAAACTGTCAAGTGTGTGCTGCAACTCGTAAAGTAGAGTAGATGAAGGCGATACCGCGGGGTTTAGACACGGAGCTGATGCATGACTTTGCACTGACGATATAGGCCAAGATCATTTGTTCACCGCAGTCACACCTCACAGCTTTGATGTAGTGGGGTACGATGACCTCTTGTCCCTTTTTGCATTGATTCAACGGCGACAGAAAACCGACTTCGGTGAAGTTTTGAGGCACAAACCTTGGTGTTTCTTTGAATAAATATAAATTTTTGTCTGGGAAGACTCCTCTCCAACACCGTGTGATTTGCTTTTGACGCACTAAGAGCAGATAAGTGCTGCAAAGCCACAGAGGGCCGGTCCCTCCTTGCTTCCACCTGATAAGGTGCACCAAGCACGCCCTGATGCATGTCAAGGGCGCGACGCGTGCTACATGAATCATGGATTACTCTCTCCATGTAAATCCTTAGCAGGCGGCTAAGACGTAGCGTGGCATCAAATCCGAAAGGAAACGAGGAAGCGAACAGGAAACGGTGAGCCGAAGGCTTTTAGCGGCGCTCGGAGGCGGAGTCCTGGGACTGTTCTGGCAATTTCACGTTAGCATGCTAGCCTCGGGGTGGAGGAGCCATCGCTGGGGATTTGGAGAGCTTGTCAAAACACGAGGGTCACACACACGTACACACCAACACACTCCTGCATTATTTTACCTCCCAGCAACTTCAGTAAACAGATCAATGATCTGAGGACGGAAACGGGTTTGTGGGTAAATACCAGCCTGAGACGGTGGAGAAGAGCAAACATGTAGATCCGTTTACAGAAGGGCTGAAGGATCAGTTTTTATTAAATTACTTAGAATTGGAACAACTTTGACTTAATTATTAAGAAATTGGTGTTAAATAGATGCAAATATTAACATTTTTCAGCAATAATTGCAATTACAGTAAAGTAATATTGGTATTAATGCCATGCAAAGGCTAAACATGTTTTGCACATGTTTAGCCTTTGCTAAACATGTACAAAACATGTTTTGTACAAAACATATTGCACATATTTCACTTATATGTATAAAACCTCCACTTATTCTGTTCTTCTTTTTATATTATTTTATAGTTTGTCCAGCTGGTTTCTGTTTGTGACCTAATATGAATCATAATTTCGTTCTGTTATGTTGAATGACAATAAAGATAATCTAAATCTGAATTGCATTTGAAGTCTGGACTTTGACTAGGCCACTCCAGAAACTGTTTTTGGAGCCATTCACAGGTGAACTTGCGTCATTTTGTTTCTTCAGGTTAACTTTTATATTAACATTTGTTTTGATGATTTGAAACAAAAAATAAATAAAAAGGAAGAAATTAGTAAGGATGTAAATACATTTTTACAGCACTGACAAATCATCTTGACCAGTCCATTAAATGCTAATTAATTATGTATAGCAACTGAATGAATAAATTGCATTTAAAAAAAAAATAGTTTAAACACCAAAAATGTCCTAATCTGAATATCTAACATTACAATCCTCGATGTCTCAACTCTTGGTGGTTCAACTCCAAAAGTTGGAGACTTAAGTCCAAATTTTTACCATTATATTTGAAAAAAAAAGTGAATTATGGCTAAAAACTAAGCTTGTTGCAGAATTTAAATAAAATCCCAATCCCAAAGGAAAAATCCAGCCAGAATTAGTGGATAAGTTTCTTGTTGGTGATTAAATTTTTGCTAATGCTACAGAAGGAAATAAATGAAGTTAGAAAAGATGCAGCGACATCAAGGGTTTGGACGCTCAAAGGTTTTTACAGGTGAAATTCAGAGCCAGTTAGTCATCTTTTAATTAGAAAACAGCGACAGAGAAACATCTCAAACTGGCAGGAGAAAACACAGAAACCCTGCAGCAGGATTAGAAAAGCTGCACAGAAACCACCTTTTTACGCTGCTGCCATCTGGCAGTGGAGATGTGCTCTGTGGTACCGACAGAAGCAAAAGTTTCTTCAACAAAAACAAAAAGTTGTATGTCTGAATGGTGGAAATGATGGAAAAGTTTGATTTTACTAAACCAGAACAAAAAGTTATCCTAGAAACAGCTTTTCTGAGGCCATATATTCCTTAAAAATGCTGAAATTCTGGAAGCATTTTCACTATATTCTAAATTCTGTTCCTTTATAGGGCTGAAACGATTCCTGGAATGACTCGAGTATCTCAATTATTAAAATTCCTTGAGTAAAATGTATCTGCTTCGAAGCTTTGTTAAACTATGTTTTATTTAGCACACCTTTTAGTGATTACTCATGCTGCGCAGCGCTCTCACTTCCGCTTGAGTTGTTGATGAAAGCTAAGTGTTAGCAACATAACGTCCAATTTTTAAGTTTGTTCCTGGGGGATTTTATTGATTGATGATAATATCCGGGTTTTTATTGTCTTTCTGGGGACCAACAGGCATCCTTAAACTGACTGAGTATGGCAGCTTTTCTCCGCCTGGAGCTGTTGCCTGGTGGCCGGTGTTCAGAGCGAACAGCGGTGAAGTGCGCGGCGGGTGGCTGCGCAGCAGATGATTAACGTAAGTATAGTTTTACGGACGAACCGGAAAACAAATGAACCACCATCTTGATCTCAACAAATGATTGGTGGAGCGCATCATGACGATAGAGCTGTTAGTTTTGTTTTCATGTATGACAAAGGAGCCAAATCCTGTCGCTAACATGGACAAAAAAGCTTTAAGTGGCTGAGCAAAGTGAGAGTTCATCTATTAGACTGACTGAAGATGAAAACATAAACTAAAAGATAGGATTAAATAAGTGTTCACTTCTTCCTACTCCTTTCAAACAGAAAGGTAATAGTAAACCATGTTTTTGTTCCTGCTTATTTATGCACGTTTTCTACTGTTTGCTTGTTTTCTTGTTTTTAAAAACCTGTTTGAAATAAATAACAAAAATGAAATCAAATCAATTTTTATAAGTGTATTTGTGAGCTTGCCTCAGAATATCATTTGTGCAACTTTTCTTCAGGTTAATTTAGAAAGTGAGCTGTTCTTGTTACAGGTTAATTTTCAAAACTACAGAAAAGTAACTATTAGAGATGCTCAAATATGAAAAAAATGGACTGCTGTTGATATCCAATGGTAACACTGTTATTATGTTAGATTTAGCTTCATTTTAGCAATTTTTAAAAATACCTGTAAGAATAATCGATAGATTGCTAAAATATTCATTTACAACAACCCAAATCCTTCACAAAGCTTTGCAGAAGTGCAATATTATATTTTTCTGAAGAATTAAAGGCTGCAAACATTTCTATGAGCTTTTCATGATATTCACATATTGTATATCTGCTTGGCAATGGGGATAATTTCCTAAATCTCACTCTTTAAAGCCAAATCAGAACAATTTGGAGCTCATTCAGCATCAAGTATCGGTTCTCAAATAACAGCACAAACCAGCTTTAGAGCTATTTTTATTCAACGACAAAAGATCACGGAGAAAACAAGTCAAAATTACCTTAAACAATTGACCGACTCACTTTAAGGCTTCATAATGAGACCAAATGGCTGCTGGGATGATTTCTGCTAAGAGGGAGACGCGTGGGGCACTCAGGATGATTGGCCACATCTATTACACTTTCTAAAAGCTTTTAAAACTTTCGCAGCTCTTAGAAACACACAAAATACACACAGTGAAAGGTTTGAATGGCCGATGTAGTGAGTGAGCTCTTCATCATCAGCGCATGTGGAGCTGCTCTGCCTCAGATTCCCCTCATTGTGAAAACATTACATGGAAAACGTCCCATTCATCAAGATCCCTCTGCTGGGAACGTTATTAATAAAGAATTATCTGCAATATTTCAGGCCTAAATGAGAGAGAGCCGAGATGCATTTTGATGAGAAGAGTCGAGAATTAAACGACCTTCAAAGTTTTGGATTATCGTAAAGACTTTTTACGTTTTTTTTTTGTGCAGCACATTACAGAAATTACAAAGTTAAACAAACAAAAGACACTACAATGAATAGTTTCTGTAAAAATGTTAGACTTTATAAAAGTACTTAAGCCTGACTGAAACAAATAAATAAAGGCTGAAATAATTTCAATAAAACATCTTTTTATAACAACCCCATACTCTTGAGATCTTGTCTGGTAAAAATATTTAATTTTTCTTTCTACTTTAAACCTTGTAGATCCTACTTTAGTCAAAAACATTCATCTCCAATATTTAATAGACTTTAACCTTTTAAAACCCACACTGTGTCTGAATCTCTGGTTATTACTGGAACATAAAATGCATTAGATGGAAAAAAAAAAAGCAGAAACAGTCGAAGTCTGACGTTAAATCTGATCAACTGAAAGACTGCTCTCCTTTCACTGCATGTTTTTGCTTCCATCTTCTGACATAAAGCAGAAAAAAGTGTTGAAAGCTTCATCATCCAGCCGGTTTGATTACGACTCCCTTTACCACTATAATTACAGTTTATTATATCAGTTAGAAGCCAGGCATTACATTATTATATGGATGACGTAAGCCACTAGAAAATGCTCTTTATGTGTCAAAAAGACAAGAAAGTAACATAAACACGCAGTGTGAGTGTTTAAAATTGCACAATTAAAGCTGGAAAAAGCTGCTGTTTTCAGATGAGTTTTATTTTTACCGTCTCTGTTGGAAGTTTTGATGTTACATAAAGCTCTTATCCCACCCACAGACAGGCATCAGGAAGCAAAAATGTTCAACTTGCTGCATCGGATTGGCCTAATGCGTGTTGTTTGTTGTTTTAGCCGAGCAGATCCATAAAACAAATGTCAGCACAGATTCTCCCTCCTGGATCCACCGCTAATAGCCAACAGGCTCTAATGATAAAAGCCACCGCTGGGCCCGTTCTGCTACATCATCTACATTTTTCGGTTTATTTAAAACCGCTGAAAACTGATGTTGTTTACTTTCCTTGCTCTTTTGTCTTATGCTGATCCTTGGATTGTGTGTCATGTTTCCACTCATTAGGAAAAAAAGAAGAAGCGAGAACAATGTCGTGATGTGAAAACCAGATATTGTATTTCACGCACCACTGGCGAAACCGTAAGAGAAAAAGTGGCAGAACACTCTGATTTTGTCTGCAGAGATAAATTTCCCAAGCCACTATGATGAATTTCTCCTGATTGCTGCTGGGGGAAGAAAATAAATCCTAGCAGTGCATTTAATATTCAGATCCTTTGTAATTCCTCCTGAAACTGAGCCGTGGTGCGTCTACCTTTCTGCATCTTACTGCTAATTGAGTCCAGTGGACATAAATATAAAGAGAGACACACCTACCTGTATAAAGAGAAGTGCATCATTTTCTACTCTAACAGAAAAATGAAGTAAAATCTTTTGAGTCTAAAACTGACAAAATCATTCCTTCATCTTGTAACATCAAAAATCTACATTTCCGGCTAATTAAGGAAACTTTTTAAGGACAAGATGATGGCGTAGTTATCCCAAGTTCCTGAAATTATAGTATCTGGACTTTAATCCAATAAACATCACCACAGGAACTGATTGTATTTGATTTATTGTTGGGTTAAATGTTCAAATGTTTGCTATATTCGAGCGTGCAGCAATGCCTCATGTATTGCTAGCATGCTAACATGCTACAGTGAGAAAATTAGGCAAAAGGAGCTTTAGTAAAATCATTAAAAAAAGATTTTATGTCTTACTTCATTAGTAATCAAACTATGCAAATCTTCCTTTCAATTTTCTCAGCATGGAGAAAAAATTAGCAGGTTGCTAACAGATTTTAATTTTTATCAGCATAAAATTTGAATAAGTTTCACTAGTTGGGTAACCGGTTAAAATTTGATGTAGATTAATGTTTCAATCGAATATTAATAATATTAAACCTTGATTTATACAGTAGAATCTCTTGAGGATGGCTTATTTACAAGAGAGACCTGCTAAGCTAACAACGCTAACAGCTAGCTTCTCAATTTCCCATCTTGACATTAAAAACAAGTTAATTTTTAAACATTCTCATTATCATTCACTTTAAACTGAAAAACATTAATCTCTAGAAAAAAGAGGAAATAATCACTGCAATAAATAAACCTGCAGTTCTTGCTGTATTTGGGCAAACTCAGTTAATGCTACCATGCTAACATGTTAGCTTGAAAAATGTTTGGTTTTAGGCTAAGAATGAAAGACAAAAGATGTAGCTGTAGCAAAATCATAAAACAAAGCCATGAAATCTTGTCTTATTTCAGTTTGTTGTGAAATAAAACTTAGTAATTGAACAATCCAAATTTATTTTAATTTGCTCAGCCTGAAGAAAAAGTTAATAGTTAATTTAATCAGCATATAATTTGAATATGTTTCATTAGTTGATTAATATGTTCGCAACTGATGTAGTTTAGCTAGCTTTAACCTAGCAATTTGAGCTAATTCTCATTACCATTCCCATTTAACTGGAAGGTATTTATCTCTAGAGAAACAAGCAAAGAATTGTTGAAATAAATACACCTGCTATATTTGAGTAAATTGCACTTAATGCTAGCATGCTAACATGTTAGCATGTAAAATGTTGAGTTTTAGGATAACTGTTATTTTTGAAAATAAAAACAAAGTCTTGTCTTATTTCAGTTGGTTGTGAAATAAATCACATTAGTAATCGAACAATCCAAACCTGCAGGTAATATTTTCAGCCTGAAGAAAAAGTTAACAAGTTGCTAACGTAATTTTTTTTTATCTGCATAATATTTTAGTAAGTTTCAGCATGGACCAAGTTGAGGTGGGAACTGAGACATCCCTGAAGCCACGCTGCTGGCATGTCTAACCCAGAGGTGTTGTGCATGTAGATGTTCCCTCACTGTGTGGATTTGTTTCTTTCAGACACACACGACTCAGGAGCCTGAAAGCAAGACGAGCTGGAATAATCCCTGAAGACTGACAGAACGCTCTCATTTACAGCTCAAGGGCTGCTTCAGAAGAAACTCTGCGCCCAGATGTCAGCGCTAACGTCTACACATGTGGAATAAGAATAAGGAGAACTCAAACATCCACAGAAAGTGCTCAGAAACGAATTTAACGGTGTAGGGTATGTCAGATTATTATGGTGAACAAAAAGCGCACACACCTGCAAATATCTCGTCTAATTTACAGTAAATGACCCGTTTTCTTTCCGCCTTTGCGGTCAGGAGTAATAAAACTAACTTACAACAGCATTTCCCTACAGTGCAGTCAAAAAGGAGAGCTCCTCCCTGCTGCTTAGCTTTCCCCCATTAAAATGCGCATTTTGACGAACCAGCGTTTCTCCACATATTTCCGCGAGAGGAATATCAGAGCAAATAGCCAGCAGGTTCATGAAATTAGAAATTGATTTTTTTTTTTGTATTTATGTGAACTGGTCGAAATTTGAAACGATAAATGAGATATTTCTTTGCAGCAGCCGTTGGTGGTGGTGTGGGCTGGCGGCCATTTTTGGACTCTGATGGTTTTGAAAAACCGTTTTAGCATAAAAGAAGATTGTGAGCATCCTCACCATAAAACTTTATGGATGGACATAAAACACTCCTCACTGTAATGGATATGCTATTACATCTGGATTTGCTGGAGATACACCAGATAACAGGAAAGGAAAAAAGAATTACTCTATTTTAGTTTGTATGGTTGATTAATAAATAACAATAAAGTTGGCCTTATGCAGCCTATTTGATTTAAACTCCTATGTTTTTTCAAATACATTAATATAAGTAAAAAATAAAGGTTTGCACTAATATCTGGGAAAAAAGGAACACAAAAACATGAGTTTGAAGCAGTTAAACTGCCTGTTTTTTAATTTTTAGCTAATTTGTGAAAAATATTTTGGAACTTAAATGAGTGGCGCTCACATTCTTAAGAACTTTAAACTAAAAGAAGGTTTTCATCTCAAACTTTAAAGTGACCCACGATTAGTTGAACATGTTAGCCTAAATATTCTGTAATTTTCCTACTAACTTTATCATATTGCGTTTGACTGGTGTAATTTTAAATAATGTCACACTGTGTCACTGTTAGCTGTAATTTAAAACAGAAAGAAAAAAGTGAAGTGAATCTGGATAATTTCCTACATAAAACAAAGACGAAGAGTCGGACCTAATCTGTGCCCTCAACATTTCTCTCCAGAAGACTTTGCGTCATTTGTACGAGCAACACTAACAAAGACTCCAACAGGTGATCGTTATCTTAACAAGTTTAATAGATGCAATTAATAGTTATTTTCCACTCCTGTTTTACTACTTATGTATGAAGACGCAGCAATAAAACTGCAGATAAATCTTGTTAGTTTTAAGTTTCCCCTTATGCCAACATACAGGCAAGTAGCCAATTCTTAATTTAAAAGATTGAAGATTTTGTAACTAATTTTCTTTTCATTAAAGAGGAACATTGTGGTGTTTACCCTGTTTATGACCAAAATTATATATTATGTATATATATTTGGACTGCAGAAGTATTTAAAAAGTGCTTCTTCTCCATTTTTGTCGCAGTCATTCATTATTACTGTTTTGAGTGAAGAATAACAAAAGGACAAAAATAAACTAATAATAAAAATTAACTGCTGTGGAAATTTGACAAGAATAAAATGCACTTTGTAAAAAAAATCTGAACATTTTGCAAATTACATATAAATTCAGAATCTTCAGACAGTGAATCAGTTCATTTGAACCCAGATTAACTAAATTTAAAACTAGTTCTTGTTATTTTATTAACACTCTGAATAACCAATCAACTCTTTTGGTTAATACATTTTTATCTCATTCACTTGAGGAGGCAACGTAAAGATTTTTACTGGTTTCTAACACATGGACACATTGCAGATTTAGTGACTGTTGACTTCTCACCGAACACTTTGAGCAGAAGCTCTCTCTCCTGGAAGCCGGCCTTGTTGGAGGCCTTGCAGGAGAACGTTCCTCCGTCAGCCTGCCGGATGTTTCGGATGGTCAGCATGCTGCGTCCGCCCTCCAGCTGGCTGAAAATGTACTTCTCTGAAGGCTCCAGCTGCTGCCCCTTCCTGCACAAACACAAACTAACACCTTCAGACCTTCTGCACTTCATAAAACAAAAATATCCTCTCTCAAATTTGTCTACAGTCACCTCTGGACTGCAGCACTTTCTAAAATCGCTCCTCTGACGCACTGAAAGCTCTGCTGACTTAATGTCTTTTCACATTGGACTCTGTTGGAAAATTAATCAGGGGGAAAGAAACAAGCAGCTAAATTGATCCATGTCTATATTAAGGCTTCCAAGCAGAAGCACAATGGTGAGAAGCAGGTTTGCTGCCTCCCCCGCTTGTTTATTTGTGGCTGTTTAACCAGCCGTGTAATCCACAGGGGTAAGACTCGGATTTTATGGGGGGGAAAATGTCAAATTTCTGGAGCAGATTTAGACAAAAACATCATAAAATGAGTCACTGAGTGAATGATCTCAAAACTTTTTTGGACGAGATATAAATGACGTTCCTGAAGCATATTCTGTCCACATGTCTACAAACTATTTCGATACGGCTGAAAAACGTATCGCAGTAAAAGTGTTTCATCTCAGTCGATGTTGGTAATTATTTGTTTTTTGTTTTAAATATCTGACTTTCTGACAAACTGATGCTATGACCTTTTTGGTTTCAACCAGAGTGTGTTGTTTTTACTTTTAAGCAGCAATGTTGCAATCACAGCAAACATGTTTTGCACGTCAAAAACACGCGTGTGTATTTGACATTTTGCTCTAGATGAGCATCAGATGTGTCAAAATCGCTCTAGACGTTTGTTGGGACAAGCCGTTGTTTCCCGTTACCAGTCTCTCTGTATTATGGGGAATGAGATTGAGAGAGCTGCACCAAAATATTATGTAGTGAAAAGCTTCTGCTGTCACAACGGCCCAGATGTCTCTGCCGAACTTTTTCTGTTCAGTTTTTATTGAACAAACAACGTCAACAGCTGATAATGACGTGTTAGGATGAGTCTCTTGCCTTTTTTTGTCTCCCAGTTACTTTGAACAATGGCGGATGAAATATTGAGAGTGTCTGGGTTTTCTTTACTGAAATTGATAAGATGTGGCCATCGGACATGTTTGAATTCACCAGATAATTCAGAGGTTTTGTGAGTTTCACAAGCTAGCTGGGCGCTGACGACGGTCGCAGTCAGCGCTGTTTTTGTACCAACTACAGGTCACTACGTTACATAGAGGAGACTCTCTGATTGGTTGATGCTCTGCGTTGAGAGGCGAAAGTTCAGATTTTCCAACTCCAGCCTCAGACGCTCGAAATGCTTCAATCACACCCTCGACACGCCTCCACATAGACTTTGAATGTAAACCAGACGTTCAAATCCCGTTTGGTGTGAACGCAGCATCATAAGACACAGTGATGAAACATGAAACTGCTCAGTAGGTTGTTGCTAGGTAACCAAAGCATGAGTGAGTTGCTAGGTAACCATGGAGTGAGAGAGTTAGTTGTTTCCACCAATGTAGCTTAGCTAGCCATGAGGTTGAGCGACTAAAGTCTTTCCTCTGCCTACATTTCCCAGAATGCTGTGCGTTTCTGGATAATTTCAGTGAAATTATTGATTAATCTAACAGTTGCATTATCTATTGATTGATTTATTATCCAACCTTAATGAACTCAACCAATTATATAAAACAGGTGGTTCTATAAGCTGATGAATTATGGATAATTTTTCACACAAAGCTTTTCTATTTTTGTTTCATAAATAACAGTACTCAAGTTCAGATTTTAATAAATGCATAAAAACCTTCTAACATTAGATTTTAAAAAATATTTCGTCACTAAAACAAAACAATTAAAGGAGGGTAAACTTAATTTTTTCAGCATAGCTGGATGCATGTAAACTAATATGTATTTCCATCTGGACAAGCCTAAAACTTACCTACATGTGTAGTTGAATCTATATGTATAGAGCTATATGTGTTTCTAAACAAAGCCAACCTTCTCGTCTTGTAGGAAAAACCTCATTTAAAGTCGGCGGAGGAATCACCAAAGCAAAGTAATAATAACTTTACGAGGCGGAGAGGAAATGAAGAGAGGCGTCATCGTAGCGGTGGACAGTCTAGGACGCGCCGCAGCAGTGGATGTCATTACACTGACTGACTGCTGACAGATAGTCTATTACCAAAGATGCTCAGCGGACGAGGTGAAGCCTCACTCTGACAGGAAATGCAGCTGTGAGGCTGGAATATGCTGGGAGGCGCGAGATCAGAAGCAGAAACTAAATTGGGTTGTGATTTGTTGTTGGCGTCAAAGACGTTTTCTCTGTTTGCTGGTGAAGAGTGTGAGCGACCTGCAGGCTGGAAACACACCTCCACTGTTCCAGTCAGTGGGCCTGCTGATTATCTACCGCTAAAATGGCTTTTATTTGATTATTGGAATACTAATGTGGAGCAGAATATGTAGCACCTGGATTAGCGGCAGTCAAACAAGCCGCAGAGTGATGACATCCACAGGACCGAGCCCAAATATTTTTTCAGAGCCTTTTATTTTTCAGTAGAAGTTAACAAGTCAGATTTTATGGGAGAGGCTGGAGTATAAAAAGGAAAATAAAAACCAAAAGATTAAATTTTATGCTATATAGCCTGAGGTGACCGGATTCAAACCAGCAATATTAATCTGTCACTGAGTCAGACTGTCATCCATTAACGGCAGAGTTACGTTTACTTGAGTACCTTTTTAGGAGAAATTTACTTTTAGGAGTATTTTTATTTCAGCAATTTTATTATTTAGTATTTCTGCTCTTACTTGAGTTAATATTTCTGCATTTTCTACCCACTGAATGAAAAACAAACATGTTTTAACCAAAAAACTCACCAGACTCAAAGCTCAAAGTTGGGACAATAGAGCAACATTTTCTGGTTGCAAAGTTGCTAAAATTAGCATTTAATTTCATCTGCAAGCAATAAACTGGTTCTGTCCTACCATCACAAATATAAAAATGGACTTTACTCATAACATGTCGAAGATTATTACGAAATTGTTAAATGGAGTGGATTATTTTCAAAGATTAATTGACGTATCAGGAGACTTAAATTCATTTAAATAAACAAACAAATGTATTTTTTAATTTCTTCAACAGCAGTTATGAATCTTAAACTTGAATCCTGAACACAAGTTTGATGAGATGGAGAGAGGGTGAGAGAAATGGTTAAAGATCACATAATGCATGCTCAAATATTTCCAAATATCACCGGAGAAGATTAAATGTTGTCCTTTTGACAAAAGAGGTTTCATGTGTAAATTATTACTAGTGTAGGTGCTAAAACCCTGCAAATTCTTGCACTTAATTAGTCGACTCAAAGTAAAGGTTGGATTTTCTAATGTGATTATTCTAATGTGGTAAAAGGTGAATTTGTTAAAAGGATTGATGCGTCTTTGCTATTAGTGCCTAAAAATGTGGAAAAAAGGAAAGAAAAAGTTACAGCTTTTGATATTTTAACCATTTCCATCAAATTAAATCTCGCCTGCAGTGAGTTTCTAAAGAACGCTTCATTTTTTTGACTGTTTTCTTCCAGAGAACCATCGATTTCTGTTCACTTTGGCACCGCGTGTAAAACAAGTCGCAGAGAAACCCGCCGGAGCAGCGAAGCGTGTCACAGTTACAACTGTTTGTGACATCTTTACAGTTCGCAGCGATGAAAATAGTTGCAGGAAACACCGCCTCTGTGCTCCGTTTAGACGAAAGGCAGAATGACAGAAAACAGAAAAAAGATGGTGCAGGGAAAACAATATGACCTACAATTGAATCCCCATAAAGTGCTATCAACAGATGCCCAGGTGCAAAGAGCTTGTCACAATTGCCTGCTGAGTGGGAGCGAGCTAATTGCTGGATGTTGGAGAGAAGAGTGGATAGCAGAGAGTCAACTACTTCTGGTGCAAATTCTCGCACTGCTGCTGTTTGACATTTGATCTTTTTCTGCAGCTGTTGGAGGTGATGTGTGAGGGCGGATTGCAGATTCCTTAATTAGAGCTGCGACATGATATCTTTGTTGTCTGCAACTGAAAATACTGAATCTAGAGTGTGTGACTTATGGGTAAAAGACAAGCGTGATAATAGAAACCGTACGGATTCAGTTTATGTTCATGAACTTTAAATGACATGCAGGGTTTCCCCCAGAAAACTTGGTAAGCCCAGAGCTCAGGGCGCTACGGCTGGCGGCCATGTTTTTGAGTTAAGAATGTTTAAAGTTGGCAGGAAATTTGAAAATATCACCTGATAGTTATACGATTTTGGAAGATTAATACCTAAACACCACCTATAAAGTCTTAAAAAATGGCAATTATTAAAAAAAAAAAAAAAAAACCTAAAAAATTAACAATGCTAAGCCTGGTAGGGGCCCAAGTAAAGCCTGGTGGCCTGCCAGGCTTATAATACGCTGGGGGAAACCCTGGGCATAGTGGAAGGTTGTTGGATCAAATCAAAATGGCGTATTTCCTGGAAAATGCTTAAAAAAAAAAAAAGAAAACTTTATGAGAAATAGACACATCTGAAGTAAATTTTAAATATTTTCAGGATCATAAAGAACTGGCTAAATTTGATGGCAAGTTTGATGATGTGGAGCAGAATATCATAATTACGAGCCATATTACAATATTTCAATCAGAGGCAATGCTGAATATTCACTCTTAAAGGAAAAGAAAATTGATTACTTTCCTTTACTTTATATGCTAAGTTTTTTTTTTTTTTTCTGTTTCAATTCTTTTCTATGAACAGAAAGTATAAAAGGCATTACCTGTGCCATGTGACCAGAGGATCAGGAGATCCTGAAGTGATGCAAGTGAAGGTGACTGACTCCTGGTAGTCGGCTGTGGCGTTGAAGGACTGCTGGAAGACCGATAGCGATGGAGGAACTGCACAGACAGGAACAAGGAGTCACACATTCTGCCGAGGTAATGGGACGAAAACTAAACGTTTTGCAAGAAACGTCAGTTTTCATGAAGCCGTATAAACACCTTCTGATCACATATGCAGGAAACAGCAATAAGACAACAAGCTGGCATTGTTAGCAATCTGTTGGGACTTCCTGGAAATGCTGCGGATGTTTGTAATTCCCACGGGGATTTCAGTTGACATTTTGACCCAGCTTTGGTGAAAACACAGGGACGTGAAACGATTATGTTGTTTTCTGCTTCCGAAATGCTCGGTTAAATCCACTCGAACGGAGACGAGACGGAAACGTGTTCGAATCAGAGGAAAACAGAGAGTTTTTGCTTCCTGTCTGATTCACAAGACCTGAGCTCCGGCAGCTGATCATGTCAGGCCGATTTCTGTGGCTCAGTAGAGACACTTCAGTCCGGTGGTTGTTGGATTAGGAGTTTGAAGGACATGCAGCATGAATGTTATTTTCTTTCCGAGGTGCATATCATTTTTACATTTGGGAAAATTTAATTTTATACTGAAACGGCTACTTCAAAGAGATGGAAAGGAAAATTTTTCTGGTTAAATAATGTCTCAGTTAGCAGAATAAATAAAAGATTACTGTGGCCAAAGACACAGCCTTGAGGAATTCCTTACATCTCAGGAACCACAAGGTTTATTCGAATTGTTGTGGAATAAACACAAAGCTACCAATGATATTAGCTAATCTAACACATCAGTGGTACATTAGCTGCTGGTGCTATTAGCTAATCTAACACAGCACAGCTCCACTGATGATCTGTCAGAGTTTGTGTGTTTTAGTCACCTCTTTTAATTTATAACTAAACCAAAAACCAAATTCCACAGCACATCTACATGTTACGGTTGTCATAGTCAAGCTAGCATAGCTAAATTACTTTCGTCTCTTGCACTATGTTTTTTCCTTAATTAAAGCTTTTTCCTGACCTT